TTATTTCCGGTCAGCATAGTTCATCGTAAGTGAATATTTTCTGTACATACATTACAATTTAAATACATTCAGCCACCAAATTGACTGATGTTACTCATTTGCATATTACACCAGATTGATCTCTTAATATGATCATATCATCACTTGCATGACAGCACAGGAGAATTTGCCACTTTGTGGGACTGAATGTGAAATACATTTATCTGTGAGGCAAATCACGTCACGTGTTTCTGTACTTTGCGTTATCTTCTTACATCAGGGTCTACAGTTTGGGACGTCCTCCTGATGTGAAAGGCGCTATACAAATGTAATTTTGTTGTTGTAGTACTGTACAATAATGAGGAATCAGAAGTTACCAGATATTAGCCACCCCCATTGTATAGAAATATCAGCTAAAATACCTATAGTTTGTACAATGACACCATGGAAAACCAATCCTCTGTTAATTTTGGTGCAAACTGTTTAATTATAACTCACTTAGTTGCACAACTCCACTCCTACCATAAGAGATACTGCAACATCAATAGGTTCTTAAAACATGTCTCAGTGATTGATATCCTTTGTGGTCTCACTGATAATTTATACTCATTTATAATACAACCCATCCACCGGAGTAACTTTTAGCAGAGATTTCTCACACTGCTCAGAATTTAAGCAAAGGATCATTGAATTGGCCCAAAAGTCTGTAAAAATGTGTAATTCTGATCCAAACTCCTCTCCTGGATTAATGCCAATCATCAGGCCTTTTCAACACCACAGCCCTTCTATCTAACTCAAAACAAGCAGAGATGTAAATGTGATTGATGATCAGAATAGCCATGCAGTGCAACATCCATTGGGCACTTAGAACCCAAATTTACTGCAGTGAAACACTGCTTTCAACTGGAAAACACTTTGGGATAAAATATTAAATGTGATTGACTGTAACCCGGCTACATAGTTCATTATTTTGAAGTTATTAACCAGTTTGTCTCCAGGCAGAATTCTGCCTTCCTTCAAATATGTTTTTTTTATATAATAACCAGGGATCCAATTAGCTCTGAATAAGATATTTCATCAGCACTTCCAATTCCTCCCTCCCAATAAAAACAAAACACATTATGGTTTTAAAATCAGTACAAAGCATTTCATGTTAGAATTTGACGGTGATTGGCCTTTGCAAGTCTGCTTAAAAACAAATAATGAAAATTAAACATGTTCCAACCTGCATTTTCTGATTTAACAAAACAATCGATTTAACAATAAAAAAAAACAGCCTGGGCGAGGATGTTAAGATGTTCTGTGTTCACTAAATACTGCAGTGCAACCTGTGCCCAACCCATCATTGAGTTGCAAAGATGTCATAGAGTGGCAACAACAATGCCCAAGTAATCCAAAATACCCACATACTCACCCACACTAAACTCCACATCCCCATCACCCCAGTTCTAGTCAGCCTCCACTGGCTCCCTATCACCGAACAGATCGATTTCAAGATCCTCACGCTCGTCTTCAAATCCTTTCATGCCCTGGGACCCCTGTACCTCTCCGACTTGCTTTCTCCCCAATCCACTCCCCGCTGCCTCCGCTCGTTACTGGCTCCGGCCTCCTGCTTGTCCCTCGTGCCCTCCTCCGTTCCACCATCGGTGGCCGTGCTTTCAGCCCCTGCGCTCCGAAACACTGGAACTCTCTCCCTCCCCCCTCGCCCCATCCACAGATCGCGCCCAAAGACCTTCCCCTTCCACGGTGCCTCCAGTCACCTCCCCCCCCCCCGGCTCGGCTTCGCACTCCGCCATTGTCAAGCGCACTGCGACTCTAGCCTGCACGAGGGACGCCGTATAAATGCAAGTCGTTGTGGCGCTTTAGAGATAAAGTCACTACACCTCAAGCTACTTCACGCGGGTACAAACACATTAAGAACAACATCGACATAACCTTATATTAGATGTTTAAAGTTCACTAACAGCCACAAAGACAACTGGTATTTGACTGTGCGGACGTGGGTGGGGTGTTCACCAATAAAATCTCGATTACTGAAAGCTAAAACTACTATAGCAGACACACACACACACACACATATATGACATGAACATTTTGGGAGAAAAGATGCCACAAAATAGTCTTTCACCCATGGGTCGCAGGAGGTGGCATTTCTGTCCCTCCTCCCCAGTGGGATCTGAAAGAGCACAGATTGGAAAGTGACTCCACACACAAAAAAAAGAGAGAAAGAAAAAAAAGAGAGAGAAGAGAGGATGAGCAGAGGTCAGACACAAGCACCGACTGAGAGAATGTCAAGGCTTTGCTCCAGCTGTGAAAACCTGAGTGAGTGAGTGAGTGAGTGAGTGAGTGAGTGAGTGAGTGAGTGAGTGAGTAGAGTGAGTGAGTGAGTGAGTGGGTGAGTGGGTGGGTGGGTGGGAGGAAGGGAGTGAAGGGGAGTGAGTGAGTGAAAGGGAGTGAGTGAGTGAGTGAAGGAGAGTGAGTGAGTGAGTGAGTGAGTGAGTGAAAGGGAGTGAGTGAAAGGGAGTGAGTGAGTGAGTGAGTGAGTGAAAGGGAGTGAGTGAGTGAGTGAGTGGGTGGGTGGGTGGGAGGGAGGGAGGGAGGGAGTGAAGGGGAGTGAGTGAGTGAAAGGGAGTGAGTGAGTGAGTGAAGGGGAGTGAGTGAGTGAGTGAAAGGGAGTGAGTGAAAGGGAGTGAGTGAGTGAGTGAGTGAGTGAGTGGGAGGGAGTGAGTGAGTGAGTGAAGGGGAGTGAGTGAGTGAAAGGGAGTGAGTGAGTGAGTGAGTGAGTGAAAGGGAGTGAGTGAGTGAGAGTGAGTGAAAGGGAGTGAGTGAGTGAAAGAAAGGGAGTGAATGAGTGAATGAGTGAGTGAGTGAGTGAAAGGGAGTGAGTGAAAGGGAGTGAGTGAAAGGGAGTGAGTGAAAGTGAGTGGGAGTGAGTAAGTGAAAGGGAGTAAGTGAGTGAGTGAGTGATAGGGAGTGAGTGGGAGTGAGTGAGTGAGAGTGAAAGGGAGTGAGTGAGAGAGTGAAAGAAAGGGAGTGAGTGAGTGAAAGGGAGTGAGTGAGTGAAAGGGAGTGAGTGAGTGAATGAGTGATAGGGAGTGAGTGAGTGAAGGGGAGTGAGTGAGAGTGAAAGGGAGTGAGTGAGAGAGTGAAAGAAAGGGAGTGAGTGAGTGAAAGGGAGTAAGTGAGTGAGTGAGTGAGTGAAAGGGAGTGAGTGAGTGAGTGAGTGAAGGGGAGTGAGTGAGTGAGTGAGTGAGTGGGAGTGAGTGAGTGAGTGAGTGAGAGGGAGTGAGTGGGAGTGAGAGTGAGTGAGTGAGTGTAAAGGAGGGTTGGCTGCCCCGCCCTGCCCTCCATCCCAGCTCTGCGAGAGGCAGACAGATCCTCTGCAGCACTCGGCACCACAGCATCGCTGGGGCCTGAAGATCTGCAATGTGACAGAGCAAAAAATACACACACACACAACACCATACACCACACACAACACCCCACACAACACCACACACCCCACACAACACCACACACCCCACACCACACCACACACCACACACAACACCACACACCCCACACAACACCACACACCCCACACAACACCACACACCCCACACAACACCACACACCACACCACACACCACACACCACACCACACACACACACAACACCACACACCCCACACCACACCCCACACCCCACACCACACACAACACCACACACCACACACCACACACAACACCACACACCCCACCGTTTAAAAGGACAGATTAAAAAAAAGAGCAGATATTTTATATATATATATATACACACATATATATATAAAATATCTGCTCTTCACAGCAGATATTTTATATATATATATATAAATATAAATAAAAACCCATTTTTTTCCCCCCTCAGACACGAACAGCACCACACAGGGGAACCCACCCTTTTTTTCCCCCTTTTCCCCCATCCCTTTTTTCTGCCAACGTCGTGGCTTTTAACGCGACTCCTTTCTCGACACCTGAAACCCACAGTATTTTGGGGGCGAGTTTCAAATGTCTGGGGGTCTGGGGGTCTGGGGTGGGGGGGTTCGATTAAAAAAAAAGGAATTTTTTTTTTGGGGGGGAGAGGGGGAGAGGGGGAGAGGAAGGAAAGAAAATACCCTAAGAAAGAAGAAGAATCCTATGTGAACGCTCCGGTGAGGCGGTGCAGTATAAAGCCGCAAAGGTTGAACCGAGTACGTGTTGCTGAGAGAGGTGCGGATTTCTGCGCCGCCACATCTGTCCTGGACGGCTCAGGTGGGCTGGGCTGGGCTGAGCTGGGCTGGGCTGGGCTGTACTGGGCTGGGCTGGGCTGGACTGTACTGGGCTGGGCTGGGCTGGACTGTACTGGGCTGGGTTATACTGTGCTGTACTGTGCTGGGCTGTACTGGACTGTGCTGCACTGAGCTGTGCTGTACTCTACTGTGCTGGGCTGTGCTGTACTGTACTGGGCTGTGCTGGACTGGGCTGTGCTGTACTGTGCTGTACTGGGCTGTACTGTACTGTGCTGGGCTGTACTTTGCTGTACTGGGCTGGGCTGTGCTGTGCTAGGCTGGGCTGTGCTGTACTGTACTGTGCTGGGCTGTGCTGTACTGGGCTGTACTGTGCTGGGCTGTGCTGTACTGTGCTGGGCTGTACTGTGCTGTGCTGGGCTGTGCTGTACTGTGCTGTACTGTGCTGTACTGTGCTGGGCTGTGCTGTACTGGGCTGTGCTATACTGGGCTGTGCTGTACTGGGCTGTACTGGGCTGTGCTGTACTGGGCTGTACTGGGCTGTGCTGTACTGTGCTGGGCTGTACTGTGCTGGGCTGTACTGGGCTGTACTGTGCTGGGCTGGGCTGTACTGGGCTGTGCTGTACTGGGCTGTGCTGTGCTGTGCTGTACTGTGCTGTACTGTACTGGGCTGGGCTGTGCTGTACTGGGCTGTGCTGTGCTGTACTGTACTGTGCTGTGCTGTGCTGTGCTGTACTGTGCTGGGCTGTGCTGGGCTGAGCTGGGCTGCACTTACCTGCCATGCTGACTGTCCTGTCCTCACGTCCCGGGTGCGGGTTTACACCTGAACACTGGCTTCAGCAACACTTGGTATCTTCTTAAGATCGTGTCTCGATGGGTTTTTTTCGCAAGAAAAAGCGAAACACCTTCATGTCTCCACCGGTTTCCGCGACAGGAGAAAGTCCAGCTGCAGGTTCATTTTTTTTTAAAAAAAAGACCCTCTATTCTTATCTCTTTCTCTCTCTCTCTTTATATATATGTATACATGTATATATTTAATATATATATACAGTACACATACACATTTCCATGCAGAGAGATGTCTTCAGTCGTTGGCTGCTGTTTTTTTCTTCTTGGTTTTCTTGCTTCTTGTTGGAATCTTATTTGGGTTGAAGATAATTTTGCTCTCTGACTGCTGTGTGTGTGTGTGTGTGGGGGGGGGGGGGGGGTGTTGTGGGTGTGGGTGGGTGTGGGTGTGTGTATGTGGGTGTGGGGGTGTGTGTGTGGATGTGGGTGTGGGTGTGTGTGTGTGGATGTGTGTGTGGGTGTGTGTGTGTGGGGGGGGGTAGGTGTGTGTGTGTGTGGGGGTGTGTGTGGGGGGGTAGGTGTGTGTGTGTGGTGGGGTAGGTGTGTGTGTGTGGGGGGTAGGTGTGGGTGTGTAGGTGTGTGTGTAGGTGTGTGTGTAGGTGTGTGTGTGTGTGGGGTGTGTGTGGGGTGGTAGGTGTGTGTGTGTGTGGTGTGTGTGTGTGGGTGGGGTGGTGTGGGTGTGTAGGTGTGTGTGTAGGTGTGTGTGTGTGTGGGTGTGTGTGTGTAGGTGTGTGTGTGTGTGTGTGTGGGTGTGTGTGGGTGTGTGTGTGTGTGTAGGTGTGTGTGTGTGTGTAGGTGTGTAGGTGTGTGTGTGTGTGTGGGTGTGTGTGGGTGTGTGTGTGTGTGTGGGTGTGTGTGTGTGTGTGGGTGTGTAGATGTGTAGGTGTGTGTGTGTGTAGATGTGTAGATGTGGGTGTGTGTGTGTGTGTGGGTGTGTGTGTGTGTGAGTGTGTGTGTGTGTGGCTTGTTGCAGGAGAGGTGGGTGCTGCTGTGTGGACAGCTCCCCAGCACAGAGCTCACTCACTCACTCACTCACTCATTCACACTTACTGACTGACTGACTGACTGTGAGCTGTGAGGTTAGATCCGCACAACGTCAAGGCTGCAACACACTCCTTAAACAGGCAAAGCACACTGCCTGCCTCTGCTCACTTACATACAGCAGCACAGTCACCGCCACCCCCCCCCCCCCACCCTCCCCTTCTCGCTTCTTTTTCCTTTTAAAAATACCCAAATGTTTATTTTAGGAGGAGGAGGAAGGGGGGGCGAAAAAAATCAGTGCCTGCCATGGACTTAGAATAAAATACCCCAATTCACCTTCCCACCCAGCAAGGAGTGCATTTTTTTTTACCACAATAAATCAATGACCAAGTCATCTCCCACCTTTAAATTAGTAGTGGTCGCTGTTTTAAAAGATGTGACTCAAAAGATCACACAAATAAGGTCACTGTGCATTTTCCCCCATTTAATACTAACTTAATAAAAGGGGATTTTCCAACCTGATGTTTTTTCAAAGGTGGGGCCCACCAGGGATCAGCCTTAAACAGGTTTTTCTATATCTTTATTTTTTTAAAAAAAAGCTCAGTTTGGACCCTTGCCCACTCCCATTTGATACTTTTAGAATGAATGAATGTGTATATATACACACATAAATAAAACAAAGCATTAGCAAAGAGCAGAACGTATGCTTTTAAAATGTGGGGACCACCGTACAAATCATGTATGTGAAATCGAAATGTTCAAGGGAATGGGATTTAAAAATAAAAATCTGATCCTAGTCCGGTCAGATGTCTATATTATCGAAACGTTCCTTCACATCCAGTCTTAACATCGAGCTCCTTCTTTTCTCCCGAGGCCTGTGTCGTTTCTCCAGACATCTCACACAAGGGGCAACACAACTCATCAGCAACTCATTGCCACAGGGTTTGGCATTCCTTCACACTCAACAAGAAGTGCATTTTTATACAATAAAAGGGTTACATTAATACCATGTAATCTCCCCAAAACAAAAGCATAATAATCCTGTAATTCAACAGCATCAGCACTCAAGTGATGCCCTTAATGTGCTCCTAATGTACAGTTTATCTAAAGTAAGTCCACTCTCCTGATGGCAGTACATTAAAGAAAATTATTGTAAATAATAAAGGGACCATTAACAGTGTTCTGCTCTTAAAAATAAATGAAACATGTCCAGAAATGTGAAGAGGGAAGAGTTTAGGTGATGCACTCAGCTTTTCCATCTTGTTTTTCCATCTTCAGGACCTGGATTTGACTCCAGCCCAGCCAGTCTCCTTGTTCAACCTTAATAATAATCCTTGCATTTGATATAGAATATAGTGCCTTTCACTAACAGTGAATCCTGTGAAGCACATTATGAGACGTCCTGATAATGCTTCACAGGATTCACTGTAAGTGTACATTAAACTCCTGATAACCATGTCTTAACTTGTTATTACCGCTTAAGTCATCATGCTGTCAATATCCCGGCCGCATTTATTTATTTATACATATGCCTAATTCGCCGCTCCTGATAACTGGTCACTGAGCCCGTTTCCCTTGGAGCAACGAGTTATCAAACGTTTATTGTAGTGACTATGTATTTGTAGGCAAGCACAACACCCAATTTGCACACAGCAATGCCCCACAAACAACCATGAAGTGAATGACCAATTGTATCTGGAGGATTGTTAGCCGGGACATCGGGAGAAACTGCCAACACATTTCAAATAGGGCCATGGGATCTTTAACATCTATCTGAACAGAGAGAAGGAGCCTTGGTTTAAAGTCTTACTGTGCCTTGACAGCCTTTGTATAGTCCCTAGTCAGCATAGATTCACACAATGGCTGTCCAGATTTCAACGTAAACTGTGATTCTTAGATGCCACATGGTTTATGTGGGAAATTGAGACGATTTTACACTTTGCAATTTTTTTGTGGCCCACACTCTTACCTGTCCTGGGCATGCTTGGCAGTCACACTTCATAGCCAAAGGCAGACGAATGCTCCCTTTCCCCAGCATCGATGAGGGAAAAACAAAATGATCTTTTCCAAACACTTCCCATTCCTAAAGGTTCATCATAACCTGCAGCATTGCACATTGTGGTGGGGCTCCAATGAGTTAATTGATAAGATGGTGGATTCACACCTCGAGCAATGAATTGCTGGGACAGAGGGAGGGAGCAGACATGATGTCAGTGGGAAGGAGGTAAAATTGAACTAGAGACGTCTCTAAATAACTAGATATACACAGAGCAGCTAAATGTAAATATAAAAAAACACCCGCCGGGTTCACTGTGATAGTGTGTGCAGTGTATTATTGTTCACCACGTCTTCAATTGTTGCCAGAAACATTACAGTGAAGCAGGTGGTATTTGTACTCTTGCCATCAGTATTTCATTAATAACTGAAGAAGCATTTTGCCCTGTGTACATCTACAACACTGACCCATGGCAGACTGTGCTCCATGCTCTAATCATACCTTTGGTGATCCAGGAACCTGCTTTCATTTCAGCAGCACATAAAGATTTCTGACAGCTGGAAAATTACAGTACTACCATTAATAACAATATTTTTAACAGCAGATATATCAGTCACCATTATGTGTGTGTGTGTGTGTGTGCTCGTGTGTGTAGTGTGCATGTGTTTCCCATTTCAACGTCCCATCTACCTTTTCAGGAATTGAACTGGGACTGAAAGGATTGCTCTTAACAGAGCCAGAACAGACATGATGGGATGAATGGCCTTCTGTTATGTGAATTTCTATGGGTCTAGGTGGAAGCTAAAGATCGCATGGCACTATTTGAAAAGAGTAGTGAGTTTGTCCCAGTGTCCTGGCCAACAATCCCCTCCCCCCCGATAAAATTGGTCATTCACTTTGTGGCAATTTGTGGGACATTACTGTGATTTTCTTTCCAACATGTATTTTCTGACCAATTTCAGTGGTAGAAATAAAAAGTTGCATTTCTCAACGGGATGTGATATGGCTGTTTTTCTCTACCCATTGCGGAAGTGTCACCGTTCCGTTCTAAACATTTGTAGGACTGCACTGCATAACAAGCACAAATCCTAGAAACATAGGAACAGGAGTAGGCCATTCAGCCCTGGCATCATTCTGGTGAATCTGCGCCCTTCCTCCTCCAGGGTTAATATATTGTTCATTATTAATATGTCAATGCAGACAATACATGTTTACATAGATAATTCAGCACACTGCCAGTAAGTTTCAGAACAGATATGTGGTTTATCTGATCAGATGAGAAGTCTCCTCCATTGGTTGATACTGACTGAATGGGGCTGTATGATGAACCTGCAGGACCATCTTTCTTCAGATTAAAAGGTAATCTGATTGAGATAATAATAAAGGGAATTCACCAGTGAGATATGACACTTGCTTCTGGTACAGGGATCCAGAGAATACAAGACAACAAGAAAACAAAACAAAAAGAAGAAAATCGCAGAACAAACCCCAGTTGAAAGTGCGATCAAAAAAGATGGCTTTGCACAGAGATTGTGGAATGCACAGCCCCACAAGGCAGCAGATGCCTAGGGGAATGGTATAAAAAAGAGCTGCCACCCACTAATAAAATGCCATTTGGCTCAATGAATAACAATAATAATTCTTACATTTGGTATAGTGCCTTTCACGTCAAGAAAACATCCCAAACGTATCATGGCATATGTATAGTGTGAGGTGGAGTGACTGTGTTTTTCTTCAGCAAATTGTCTCCTCCTGTTCAATATTTTAATATGATTGAGAAGGATTGGAGAGAAAATACAAATTGGATTCTTTCGGATCGTTATTTGTGACGGGACTCTTCATTCAAGGGAATATTACTGCTTTAAAGCCACTTCACCGGCTGTCAGATCATCGCCTGGGTTTGCAGAGAAGGCTTGTAAGTAGCTTTTATCTCTCTTCTCCTCTCCGCCTTGAAAAGAGCTCACCACTTTAATTGGCTTTGGTGCTTAAATTGCAAATATGGTGTCTGCACCAGCAGTCTGTCACTGAAAATGTTAGGAGTATCAGCACTGTTATTCCCTCAGTGTGGACATCACATGGTCACCACTCAATGTATCTCCACAGTCAATGACAGAGATCAGCAAAACTAAAAACACGTTCAAACTAAATTAAAAACTTTCCAAATCACTCAGAATATATC